ATTATTATTATTATTATTATTATTATTATTATTATTATTAGATGTTACTTATGTGGCCATAAAAGAGGGGGGAAAGTGCCACCCTCTCTTCCAGTTATTCTTGATGACAATTTGATACCACAAAAGTCTCCATAGCGAAAAGATCAAGATACAAAGCATTCCTCATCCGGCCTGAAAGACAAAAATTTCAATTTTTGAACTGAAAAACCTAATGAGTCATGCAATGATTTTATACTGACTGAGTACTTCAAAAAGAAATACAAAACAATGTTGTGTATAGCAGATTAGAAACTGTTAAAAGCTACAGTTTCCAAAAAGGTAGACCTGTCAATATGTTGCAAGAAATAACAAAGGGTCCTGTTACTCTTTTCAAGATAAATTGACTGTATGGGGGCTTTCATGAATTATAGACCACTTAATCCAGCACATAGAAGTATTATCTGGAACTTCAGGTACCTGTACAGAACATATAACTGGGAGACAGTGAAGTCAGAGGAAAATTCAACACTGAAAGTATTGATAATGACATTTACCAGTCACTTGTTGTTCTTTGTCATCAAGTTGACTTCAATCTATGATAAAAATGAGAACCCTCCAAAAACATCACTCAGTTCTTCCAAATTCCAGGCCTTGGCATTCCTGACTAAATCAATCCATCTGTAATGTGGTTTTACTGTTTTCCTAAAGCACTGCATATATACCTGAAATTCTGGGTAACACTTCATGGATGAGGAAGGGCTATAGACCATGGAAACTCCATTATAAAGAATCTGTTAGTCTTTTAAGATCCCACAGGACTCTTTGATTTTTCATAAATTGTTCTTGTTGTTATGTGCTTTCAAGTCATTTCCGACTTATGGCGACCCTAAGGTGAAACTATCATGGGGTTTCCTAAGACTGAGTGTGTGTGACTTGCCCAAGGTCATTCAGTGAGTTTCCATGACCCAGCGGAGATTCAACCCCTGGTCTCCAGAGTTATAGGTCCAAAACACACTGCAGAAATAATCCAGTTTGGGACTGCTTTAATTGCCCTGCCTCCGTGCTAGGGAATCCTGGGAATTATATTTTACTGTGGCACCAGAGCTCTCTGACAGAAGACTAAATGTATCACAAAACTACAATTCCGAGAATACTCTAGCACTGAGCCAGGGCAGTTAAAATGGACTCAAACTGGATTATTTCTGCAGTGTGTTTTGGAACATAAACTGTATAGACACTGCAGAAATAATCCAGTTTGACACCACTTTAACTGCCATGTCTCAATGCTATGGAGTTCTAGGATCTGTAGTTTTGTGAAACATTTGTGAAACATTCTCTGACAGAGTATCCTCAAATTCCATAGTATTGTGCCACAGCTCTTAAAGTGGTGTCAAAATGGCTTATTTCTGCAATGTGGAGGCAGCCATAGCCCAATGCTGAAACCACTACACCAGACTGGCAAAAATTTCAAAGTGTAAATATAGGGTAGGAACAGAAAAACTACAACAGCAAAAATCAAAGTCCTCTGCTTTAGTAACACCAACTTGACACTACTGGGGTGGAAAATTTTTGTATTAACACTTGCTTGGAAGTGGTAGGGAGACACAAGGGCTTAGGGGAAGAAAGAAACACAAAGCAATGGAAAGCTTTATGCTTCCACCGCAGAAAAGAAATTGGAATTTAAAAAGCTCAAAATGAAGCACTGAAGGGAGCAATCCTTCTACATGGATGGAAAAGAACAGCCTTTTGGATAAGAAGCAAAAAGGGCTCTATCTTAAACTGACAGTCAATAATGTTTCTCACCTGAACACATTTCTCTTGGCTTAACTCTGAACCCATATTTTTAAAAATAATTTTTATTAATAATTTATTTGGAAAACATTAACGAATGCAAAAATGGAGAAAAGAAAATAAGATTAAAAAACTAACAAAGAATAAAAAACAAAAGTAAACAAAACAAAAGTAAAACCACTTTTTAAATGCATTTATATTTATTATATCCTAAATTTACACAATATACCTTTTTAAAGTGATGGAGGGAAGAACAAAGTGGTACACCTGCACCCACCATATGCAAAACTCCAATGTGTATTTTCCATATATATATATATATATATATATATATATATATATATGTGTGTGTGTGTGTGTGTGTGTGTGTGTGTGTATGTAAGTATATGTGTGTATGTATGTATATATGTGTGTATGTATGTATATATACATACATACACACATATACATACATACATACACACACACACACACATATATATATATATACACACACACACACACACAGAGGAACATGCCTTTTGAAGGAGAGATGCATGGTTGGTTTACATGAGGAGGAGGAGCTCTGCATGTGTTCAGAGACATTCCACACACAGTAATAAAGGTTTATTGTAGAAAAGGGAGGTAAAGGGGCAATTCTACTGGGAAAGGTGGCTAAATGTATCACAAATTCAAGTCAGATCTGCACTGCAGAAATAATGCAGTTTGACACCACTTTAACTGCCATGGCTGAATGCTATGGAGATCTGGGATTTTTAGTTTTGTGAGATATTTAGCCTCCTCTGTCAGAAAGCACTCTGGTGCCACAACAAACTACAAATCCCAGGATTCCAAAGGATGGAGCCATGACAGTTAAAGCGGTATTAAACTGCATTATTTCTGCTGTGCAGATTAGACATGAACCTCATGCTCCCTTTCTCAGTAGAATTGCCCCTTCCCCTCCAGACCCTAAAACACTAACCATTAATTCCTAAATCTGACTGACCCAGAGTTCATCTACACACTATAGAAATAATGCAGTTTGACACAACTTTAATTGCCATTGCCTTCCATTCAACATTATCTTGGGATTTGTAGTTCTGGGAGACACCACAAAACTACACCAGCGTGATGTAGTGGTTTGAGCGTTGGACTATGACTCCAGAGGCCAAGGTTCGAATCCTGTCTGGGTCACAGAAACCCACTGAGTGATCTTGGGCAAGTCATACTCTCTCAGCCTCAGAGGATGGCAAGGGCAACCCCCCTCCAAAGCAACTTGCCAAGAAGACCCCATCATAGGTTTTGCCTTATGGTTGCCATGAGTCGAAAATGACTTGAAGGCACATAATAACAACAAGAAGGCACCAGCATGGCTCATGAACTTGTAAAACTACAAATCCCAGGATTCCATAGGATGGAACTATAACAGTGAAAGCACTGCCAAAGGTCCAAAACACACTTCAGAAATAATCCAGTTTGAGGCTACTTTAAGTGCCCTGGCTCAATGCTAGGGAATTCTGGGAACTGTAGCTTTGCGAGACATTTTGCACCTTCTCTGTCAGAGAGCTCTGATGCCACAACTACAATTCCCAAGATTCCCTAGCACTGAGCTGGGGCAGTTAAAGCAGTCTCAAAGTGGATTATTTCTGAAGTGTTTTGGACCATAGCCTTGTTAGTCTGGAAAATCAGTTTGCAAAGGGATCTTGTAGTACCTTTGCAAGAGTCAGGGCAGTTAAAGCAGCCTCAAACTGGATTATTTCTACAGTGTGGACTTTAGGCAGGGATGGCTCAAAAACTTGTAAAACTACAAATCCCAGGATCCCATAGGATGGAGCCAGAGTAGTGAAAGTGCTGTCAAAGGTCCAAAACACACTGCAAAAATAATCTAGTTTGAGACCGCTTTAACTGCACTGGCTTGATGCTAGGGAAATCTGAGAACCGTAGTTTTGTGAGACATTTAGCTTTCTTTATCAGAGAGCTCTGGTGCCACAATAAACTACGGGCCTCTACACACGCCCCCGATCCTCCCTTTTGCCCCCCCCCAAAAGAGCAGCAAAATGCCACTCCATTTAGGGGAGACAAAAGCCCGCCCTAAGAACTGGTGCCGCAGCTCTTCTGTGCCCTTTTGGCGCAACATGTAGACGTCAGGGCATCCTGATGCCACGCGCCATGTGTAAGGGCATGCGGCATCAGGATGGTGTCCGGGTGGGATTAGGGCGGCCGTCTTGAAGCTGTCCTGCCCCAACTCCACCCCCAGGCCGACCCTTGAGACCAGTCTGCAATGGGCATACAATTCCCTGGATTCTCTAGCACTGAGCCAGGGCAGTTAAAGCAGTCTCAATGTGGATTATTTCTGCAGTGTGGACCTTAGGCAGAGATGGCTAAAGATGTGGTGAAACTACAAATCCCATGTTTCCATAGGGTGGAGCCATGGCAGTGAAAGCGGTGCCAAAGTGCATCATTTATGTAGCGCAGCTTCAGAGCAAAACTCTGGTGCCACAGCAAACTACAACCCCCAGAATACTACAAAGCTTGGAGGCCATGGCAGTTAAAGTGCTGCCAAACTAGGTCATTTTTGCAGGGACATACTAAAACAAATGTTAGCTATGATGTCACTGCTGCTCTTTACTTTAGTGACACCCATCACTACTGCTGCTGCCCAGTAGTTGTTTCCCTATGACACTGCCCCACCCTCCATTATTGTTGAATTGATTGTTTCCCTACCCTTCTCCTCCCTCCTTTTCCCTTCCTCCCTCATGTCCTTCTTTATTTTAGTCTCTCATCTGTCTTCTGGCCCTTGTTTGGTTTTCCTTGCCCATCCTCTCTGTTTTCTCCTGTCCTCCCTCTGGAAGACTGGGAGGAGGCTGAGATGGACTCACATGGCTGGCTTTTCCCTTCCTTATATACTTGTCCATAGGAAAACATAGAATACAGTACTTGCTCATAGGGAAACATAGGAGAATGCTTGCCTGTAGGGAATCATTGGGGAATACTTGCCCATAGGGAAACATAGAAGAAT